GATCCGCCTCTTGGAATGCCGGCATGCAGGAGCAGAGCCAGGCGGAGCGAAGCCCCTGGAAGCTCCGTGTCCGACAGCGCCCTCTGCCCTGCACAATTCCTGGATATTCAAGACCATGAATTTGCCTCCTCACTTAGACAAGACGCGACGCATGTGCATGGTGTGGGCTACACACGGCTCTGCAACGGACAGGTGTCCTTCTACTGTCGTGCTGGTGACCCCACTCTAAAACGAACCGCATCTGCATCACAGACACTCAGACAAGCGGGCCTCAACCGCATGGCTTAACTTAGCATATGGAAGAGCTTCCCAGCAGTAAAACAAGAGCAAAGGTGACCACAAACTATTATAGAAAATGGTTATCTCTTGACGACCCAAAGTAAGTGGTTCAAACCCTTAATGATTTAAGGGGATCTGATGATTCTCTGAAAAATGATGACTTATTTTAAGGCTATTTACTTATTTTTGCTTCTTACTATAAAAATAGTCATTTTCTGTATAGTCATGTAATTGACCATTTTGGTAAATTATAAAGTAAATAAGAACGAGGGCACCATTTCCTGTAAGTGAGCGAGTCAGCTTACACGGGAGGAAGACACCACGCTAGTAACAGGAGCTCGACATAAAAGCCCTCGCTCTCTCGCCGCAGTTCCGTCCCGCAGCCCTCCTGGCTGCGGCTGACCACCACTGCCTCTGCAGTCCCCGTCAGCACAGACCAGCTCCTGCCTTATGTTACCCTTAGACATTCTCACCTCGTGTGTCTCCTACGGAGAGAAGGGCCCAGTGACACCCCACTAAAATACGATCATTGCACTGAACACTGTACCTACTGTCAGATAGCCCGGCCACTGTGAAACGTCACTAATGCACGCTCGGCTCCCAGCTTGATTCAGACGTGCCCACGTGCTGCGGATAAGATGGTAAGAGATAGAATTATAATTCACACTCAAACCCAAACTCTCACGAGCCGCAACAAGAAGGAGGTTCATTTCTCGTTTCATGAGCTGGGGGGACAGGTGGCTGCGCCACAGTGGCCTGCTCAAGAGTGCTCAGAGACCCCTCCTACGGCCAGCACACTGCACAGCTCTGAAGCACTGTCCCTGGGACTGCACCACCTGCAGCCCCTGCTCCCACACTCTGGGTTGGCCTCACTCCTGTGGCCACGACAGCCCAGAACCGCACACCAGGCAGCAGATGTGGAACAGAGGACGACAGGACCGAGTCTGTGTCCGTCTGTCTTCACGGTGTCTCCCGGAAACACCCACGGAGTGCTGGCGTGCAGCCCATGCGCCCAACAGCTGTGCACACGCACGTGTCTGAAGGGGACCTGGGACTGCGCGTGCTCTGGGCTCTGTCCAGCCGTGGGCCCTACTGGGCCAGAGCAACGAGCAAGGGAAGCCACCCAAGGTGCCCGCAGAGACCGAGGCTGCGAGGACTGGTCCTGCTTGGCTCGAGCTATACATAAGCATTAGGTTTGTTGAAAACTAACACTTTTGTAAGAACTAGACAAATACCTGGTAACAAATGTGTGTTTTTCCCATAGCAAGGTGCATTTTACATCGTAGAAAATGGTAATTCTGAGGGGTAACGGCATTTTCCCACACCTGCCAGTGTGTCAGACACATCAGACGGGGGCCGAGGAGCTTGACCCCTGCCGGGCACCACTTGCAAGCCAAGACCTTCTGAACACGCCATCTTGAACCCGGGACTGCTTTCAGGCTGGCTGCACCGTGCTCCTTCTGCTGGGGAAGGGGCGGGACACCGATATTTCCACTGAGACACGCGTTCCAGAAAGTGCTGGAGTCTCTCAGGTTTTCCACTCGCCTCCCCTTCCCCACGAGGATGGACACAGAGCTTCCTCGCCACAGGACACGCCCCCGAGGACACGAGCACGATGTGGCCAGAGACCTCTGGAAGTTAGCCTCAACTGGAATACCTGAACAGAAAGTGATCTGGCAAGTTTGAGTGCTTCAGGAGAATGGAGGAGGAAAAATATAATAAAAGTTTTCTCTGCCTTTGAAGAGTAAAGTATTCTCTTTTTTCCACTCTGATCCTCCCTTAGATTCTCTGAGAAAGCCATTAAGCCCAAAGCTAGAACTGGACAGGCATTTTGGTGGTCCTTCCCAGAAGGGCCGCGTGCACCCCCAGGACACCACTCCCGTGGTGCAGTCGCACCCAGGGTCGGGGGGCGGCCCAGGGCAGCAGACCAGGCGCTCCTTAGCTCGGGACGTGGAGCCTGTGCTGCCCCCCCCCCCCCCCGGGCTCCAGCCA